TGTTATTCCTGGTCAAGAACACAAAGTGTGCAAATTAGATAAATCTCTTTATGGTCTAAAACAGGCACCTAAGCAATGGCATGAAAAGTTTGATAATCTTGTTATCTCACATGGTTTCAAAGTGAATGAAAGTGACAAGTGCATTTATTATAAATCTGAAAATGATGTTTGCACTATTATATGTCTTTATGTGGATGACTTGCTGATTTTTGGTTCTAATATTCATGTTGTGAATAATGTGAAATCTATGCTATGTGCTAACTTTGATATGAAAGATCTCGGAGAAGTAAATGTGATCCTTGGAATTAAGATAACTAGGTCTAAAAAGGGAATTTCTTTGGATCAATCTCATTACCTTGAGAAGATCTTAAAGAAATACAATTACTTTGACTGTAAACTAGCATGTACTCCTTATGATCCTAGTGTAAAGTTGTTCAAGAACACCGGTGATGGTGTTAGACAATCTGAGTATGCGAGCATTATTGACAGTCTTCGATATGCTGCTGATTGCACTAGACCCGACATAGCCTACACTGTGGGACTGCTATGCAGGTTTACTAGTAGACCTAGCATTGAACATTGGCATGCTATAGAAAGGGTCATGAGGTACCTAAAGAGAAATATGAACCTTGGATTACATTATCAAAAGTTTCCCGCTGTCCTAGAAGGATATAGCGATGCTGATTGGAATACTCTTTCAGATGACTCCAAGGCAACTAGCGGCTACATATTTAGCACAGCTGGTGGATCTGTTTCTTGGAAGTCTAAGAAACAGACTATCTTGGCTCAATCTACCATGGAGTCTGAGATGATTGCACTAGCATCAGCTAGTGAGGAAGCAGGATGGTTAAGAAGTCTGCTATCTGATATTCCGTTATGGGAGAGACCGATTCCAGCTATCTTGATCCATTGCGATAGTACTGCAGCTATTGCGAAAATTCAGAACCGTTATTATAATGGAAAAAGGCGACAAATACGTCGTAAGCATAGTACTATTAGAGAATATCTCTCCACTGGAGCTGTGAGAGTGGATTATATACGTACTGATGATAACATGGCTGACCCTTTGACGAAAGGATTAGCTAGAGAAAAGGTTTGCAAAACCTCAAAAGGAATGGGACTTATGCCCGTAGATTGATGAGTCACTTGTGATGGAAACCCAACCTATGGACTGGAGATCCTAAGAAATAGGTTCAATGGGTAATAACAAGTCATGAAGTGATATGAATTGGATCATGCTAATATAACAATATTTGTTATATTCCGAATATCTTACTTTGAAGCATGAAATCCTGAAGCGATGGAAGGTTGAGTTATTTCTAAACTCTTAATGGGTTCTATATCTCTGTGTGGAGTGGAGTATTTAGCTATAGGAATACTCTTGATAGACTCACCTAAGTGAATGTGGAAGTGTGGCCGCTTCCTATGGAATTTTGGGCAAATTCTCTAGAGCATTCACTAGACTGGGATATACGTGCATGGCCGTAAAGCACAGGCTTTTGGACTTCACCCTGATAGGGTTGTGTGTGTGATGTTGTTAGAGATAGAGTTCAAAACTACGAGTTACTCTAGTATAATCTAAATCATCTTCACTATGTAAGGGTTCAAGTCGATAGACACCTTTGCTTATGCATGATCCTATATAATATTGCTCGATGGAAATGTTAAAAATTCAAGTGGGGGATTGTTGGAGCAGTGTGAATTTTGTTTTAATTAAAAATAAAAGTGGTTATATCTAAAGAGATTATCTATTAACAAATAAAGTTGCTATTTTGAACGAAAAAAAAGGGGAAGACTTAGTCTCTGAACAAGAATGACTTGGTCCATGATTTCCTCCACGATCCTCTCCACTCTCTCATGGTTTGTTCCTAACTTTCCTCATCGTCATTGTATACAATTTTCTTTAAATAGAGGCAGAGAGGATAGATTGAGATATAAAGTTTTTAGATGCTCTCTCTGGTAATCAAAAGAAAAAACTTTCTTCTTGCTTTCTGTTTTCCGAGCAATATTTGGGTGTTTGTATTCCGGCTTTCTTCAGTGCAGAGGAGGTCCGAGGCAGAGGTGATTCTGGGCTGTTTTATCCTGGGGACGACGAGGCTGGTATACTGCTTGTACTACCTTGGACAGAGCCGCGAAACGTCTTAAAGAAAGCGACTTAGTCCGCGACTCAACCCAAGATTTTGTTTGGTAAATTCGTTCCTTTTGTGTTCTACACTAACAGTTTAAGTTTTTAACAGTTAGATCTATACAAATTAATATTAAAAATTTATAATGCGCTATACAGTGTATTTTTTAGGTGGTCTCACCATAGAGAAATCTTTAAGAATAAATCTAAATATACCTTAATTTTTTTCTTTAAAATTAGTTTTTGTTTTAAATTTTATCTTATAAATAATTCTTGAACTAAAGAAAAAAAGTCTCATAACAGTTCATCTATTAGTGGAAATCATTAATTTTGTCTCAAAAATTCTCAAGTTATTTTTTCTTTAAAAATAGTCTGGTATGTCGTTCAGGAGACAATTTTGTGGTACTATACTACTATCTTCAGCAAATTACACGTCGTTCGTGGTAGTAAATAGACAGCGTGTCCTTTCTTTTCAAACCTTTTGTCGTTTAAATCGAAGTTCACTCTTTGGTCGAATGACTAGTAGTTGGTAATATAAGAAGTTGCCTCCAAAAGTTCCATTTGCATTGAGAAACGACATATCGTTTGTGATTTCAAATTTCCCGTCGTTTAACTTAGAAAACATGATCATCTCTTTTTCCATATAGAATTTACTTTTTAAGAAGAAAACCAACATTGTCCACCAATGAAGGGGAAAAAAAAAAAAAACGTTGTATCAGTATGCCTGCTATAAAGAAAAGTCTTTTCCTGATCAGCATTTTAATTAGGATATATAGTTTGCAATTTGTTCTCCGAAAATTGATGAATTCATGATTCAAAAACTACTACTAGAAGCATAAACTAACATAGTAAATACAATTTATCTTTTCAAAATAAGACAACATTAATAACTGAGTCAACACTCTTCATGTAGGCTGGTCATCATGAACACCAAAACTTCATGGAACTGTATAATCTGCTCCCAAAAAAAAATCAACAGAATTATCAGTAAAACATGTAACTCAAAAAAAAAAAAAAAAAGGAAGGGCCAATTTAACGTTACATATCATTTGGTGTGACTTCTTTTCAAAGTATTATGTCACATAATTATTATTGCTATTATAACTAAAAGAAATACTAACAACACGCTTTCTTTCACTCTTTTTGTCATTCTCTGCATTTATTGTTTAACTAGTAGACTCTACTTAATTTAACAATTATTATTTGAATAAAAAATGAGATAGTGAAGTTCACGTGTTAAACAGTAAAGAGAGTAACAAAAAGAGCGGTACTCTAGTATTTCACTTACAACTAATTAATTAAGTAATTAGGTTAGCTTACTTCCACACGCAAGCCCACTTGGGATAATTTTTCCGCAGTAAGCTGAGACACTGTCGAATCTCAGCATGTTTATCCTGTTTGAGATTTGCGCCGGCATGTACCGGCAGACTGAGGGGATGTCCGTCAGGCCGAAAGACTGGCAGCACTTGGTGGAGGGTTCAAACCTCGGCAGCTGAATGTTCGGCATTGGGAATGGTAGCTTTGGCAGTGATGGCAACGACGGCAATGGTGGCAGCTTTTGGACGTATAGGAAGCAATTGGCCGCCAGTCCCATTACATCCCCGGCGCATCCAAAGCCCGTGTTATTGTCGCCGGAGACTAGAACTCCGGTGATGGCGGAAATAGCCCGATCATCAAGATCATGTTAAGACTTAGTCATTTTTCTTTGTATGTTCTTTTCCTAGGTGATGATCAATCTCTTTGTAATTTGCTTTTTAGGTGGCGAGTGATTGATGAGCTGCTATTAGGTTTATATATGGAATTTTGGTGTCTCAAATGTGCACGTAATTGTTCTAAAAAATTAGCGTATGGATTTTAAGCAATACAATGAGATGTCTTTTGAGAAGCCTGTTTTTGTTATGTTTTGTTAAACACTTTTGAGGTGTAATCTCTTTGTTAACTAGAGAAAGAAACTTGTGTTTGTATACTAATAAATGGCGTAGAAAAAAGACAAAAAAAAAAAAGATAAAATTTGATTAGGCTTTAGAGAGATCCTAATTGGCCAATCAACTTCCCCTTCACGCAAAGAAAATTTTATTAAATAAAACTGCCTGTGGAGGAGTAATATACAAGTAAAAGGAATCAACTAAAAAGGGCCTTTATTTAAGTTTGCAATTCACACTATCCTTTTTTTTTTTTTTTAGTTTCCTCTAAACGACTGTGTCCTTAAATTAAACGATTAAAGTCAGAAAGTCGTAATCTTGATTATAATTAATTGGAATCCATTTTTTCAAGTTTCCTGTTATTTTCAATTTCAGTACTAGCTCATTCGTTTTTATTTCCAATCAGATATATATATATATATAAGATAGACCTAGTAATAAGTATTTGATAGGGGACTTTTATGGTGTTAGGAGAAGATTAATACCAGAAATGGGAAGGCGGCAAGATAACTAGCGTATTTTGTGTACTTGGAGCTTGCGAATTTCAAATATTAGAGTTGTATAAGTTACGTTAGACTTATAGATCTTAAAGAAAATGCATTAATTTGCGGATTTGGTTGATATTATTTGCAAATTTCAAACCTTAGAACCGTAAAAGTGAAGATGCGCGCAGGTACGGATACAATCGAGGCAACAAAAAAGGACCCCTTTAATAGGCTCGGACACATATAAATAAGAGGGTAAAAGAGCAATCTATTGCTTCCAATTCATTTTTCAAGATTAGAAACAACCCATTCTTATTAGTAGTAATATTGTAGTACAATATATATATATATATATTCGAAGCAATCCAAAACCTTTATGTCAACATTTATTCTTCCTTAGAAACTGATCAGCAGTACTACATATAAACGTCAGTACAACTTTGAGTCTGCTTCTCTCTTCAACCATCCTCACGGAACTATAGAACCTGCATTAAGATCATACGGAAGCATTACAAACTTAATTAATCACCATTTTCTAGATAATTGAAAATGCTAGTTATTAATCTTTTAACATATGTAGAATGAGACAATAATTCTTTTTACTTTTTTTTAATCACGTGCGTGCACTTTCCTTTTACTAACATATGTAGCATGCAGTGTATTCATTTCTTTTTTACTGACACATATGTGATGATAATTAGAGTGGCGCTCTTATATATTATAGACAGTAAAAGAAAATTATACTTATATAAATGATCTACTTACTTCCACACTTGGTTCCATGGGGAAGAGGCCGGCCACAGTAGGAAGCAAGATGAAAGACCTTGTTCATGTCCACCATGATCTCAACCTGCTTAGTGATTTTTTGGCACACACATGGAATGTCCACGGTCTTCACAGCAGTGCAGCATGTGGCGGAGGGTTCAGCCATTGGGGTGCCCTTTTGGACGTAAACCGCGCATTGCGTAATCAGCCCCTGCATATCGCCTTGGCAAGGCGTAGCCTGGCCGTAAACGACGCCAATTTCACCGAGAAGCAGCATCGCCCAGATAGCCAAAACAACAACACTAGGACTTAACCTTGCCATTTCTCTATTCGTATTTTTTTTGTTTTTGTTTTTTGTTGGTGTGTATAAATTGGTGTTTTAGGGGTTTTTATATCGGAATTTTGGAGCATGATTTCGATGAGATTTACGTTTTGGTGTCTTTGACAGTTTACATTTGTACAGAACTTACGTTACAGTTTTGAATTAGAGTTTCAATTTCTGTAGTGGTGGTGGTATTTGTTGCATGTATTGCATATTCCATGTGAAAACAACAAGACCTTTCTCGTTCTGCACAATGAGTCCAAACACTTTTCGGTTGGTTTTCTTTTCTCATTTTCTTGGGATTCTTTTCTTGTGAAAAGACCAACAAGGTGTGGGGACATGACACTCGGAACTTGGGGCAATGAAAAATATATATTATACATACCACTATTGGTGTTAGGGGAGACGGAAGAATAATAATATTTATAACCTAATGTAATCTGGCTTTTTTTTTTTTTTTTTCATAATCTACCAAATTATTTTTTATTTTTAACATAAAAATGCTCCGCCATCTCCAGTCATTTTCACAGATTACCGAAGAGTAATTACTAGATTATTTTTTCTCAACATATATCACGGCATAACAAAAACACAAATAACCACAGTATAAAGATTATTACAGAAAAAAAAAAAGATTAACAAAAAATTAAAAAGAAAAAATCAATAATAAAATGACAATTCATTGTCATGTAAGTTGGCAATGAATTTTCATTTTTCACTGATAAATGTAATATCTTATATAAATTGACATGTTAATCTCTTAAATGTGGCAATAAAAGAAGAGGAATGCTAAGTTATACTAACTTTAATCTCAAATCTCTTACATGAATGTTATTTTTTCACTGATATATTCAATCTGATCTTATTATAAATTAATATGATAATCTTTTAAATACTTATTAATAAAAAGATAACAATTTACTTGCCATATTATGTATTGCCCTTTTTAAATTTCTTATTGGATTCTCTTATTATTATTTCGTGAATATTGAAACTGTGACGACCCTCCTTTGAGGCCGCCACTGTTACTAACTTTTTAACTTGTACTTACTGGGGTTTCTTAAAATATGCGGAACATTTTTTTTCTTTTTTATATAAGAAGAATACTTTCTCATAATTTGTAACAATAATTTCAAATAAGTGAATCACTAAATTTCTTAAAGCTTTTCTTAATTTTAGTTAAGATAAAACCTTTTAGGAATATCCTTCAAATGGAATAGCATTTGAACTCTTGTTTTAAATACTCTTTAAAAGCTTTTCTAAAACTAGTCATTTCAATCGGCCATCTCATTTGACTTTAAAACGGATTTCGTGAGAAATCTTAAATTCAAGTACATCTTAAAGTCCTTCTAAAATTACTCATTTAAATCGTCATGTTTAAAATTCATTTATTTGTTGCATGTACTGTAACATTCTAAAACTTAAATACTCAAAACTAGGGTTGTTAGCTACAACCTTGGTTTTCTTAACATACATATGTACGTATACTTTTTAAACATACATACTTGAAACTTTTGAATCATATAGACATATACATGATTTTTCTTAAACTTACTGCGGAAAATAACTGCGTGAGCGGTATCCATTCCCATCTCCACCATTCG